AACTTGATTGAGAACAATACGTACAATGATTTGAAACCCCAAGGTACCCGCTTGCCACATATGTATGGTCTTCCGAAGATACCAAATAAAATTAGTCCCTCTGAGACCTATACTTTCCATGATCAACTCGCCCTAACATAAGGTGGAACGTTAGCCTGCGGAGAAGTTGGAAACTATTCGTCAACGACTAGCCGTGCACATCATGAAAGACTGATTTCATTTTCCTGAAATGAAATTTCAATTCTCTGAAACCTGATTTATGCGTCCAGAAAGAAGCGATTATCAGTCTTTCTTTACCCTGTCTGGTAACTGAATATTTTCATCTCTCTTTCATCTGAATGCGAAATGCTGAAACGTTTCCATTGTGTAGGATTATTATTGTTGTTCGGAATGATGTTTAATATTATATATATATATATATATATATATATATATATATATATATATATAGTTACTGTATGCATATATTGATCTATGATTTTTGTTTAAAATGAACTTTGTGTGGAAGTACGTTAAAATTGTTTTTTGTAGATATATTTAATAATGACTTTAGCCTGTAAGCAGCTGACGAGAAGGCAACGAAATAAACACTATTGGTACCAATTTATTCTGCTAAATTTGTAATTCTTGCTTTGTTCAAATTCATCTATAAGGGAAATAAATGTATGGAACTACTGCTAGTGTCTTGAATCCCTGGAGATGCAAGTCGTTTCTCTTATTTTGGCACATGCACTAACCAATTAGTGGTGGATAATGATGTTCCCCCATACACTGGGATTCGAACCCTGGACGCATGGTTTCACAGGCAAATGAAGCACACATACACAACAATAATTTGGATAACTTATTTTCGAATTAAATTTTGATGAAATTAGAAGTATTAGTTTACCAACCCGTCAAACAGTCTATCACCACATGAATCTTTTTACACTGGCAAAACAGTAAACCTGTCTAAGGGACTGGTTAATCTACTTCTAAATCTATTGACATTTAGCAGAAAAAAAACACTTGATAACTTGGTTATAAAAAAAACAACAACACATTGAACAAACAAACATATCACAGAATTATACTGTATCATGTTTATTGGTGTGGCAACATTGATAAAATTGTGGCATAAGGATGAATATATACATGGGCAAAGTTAAACTATCATAGTCAAAACTACAGTGACCTTGAACGACCAATCAGAATACAGATGTAGTAAAAAGCCACATAATCGTTGAAAAATGTAGTGATAAAAACATTGCAAACATAAAATTTTACTAAATAGTTGTCGCTTATGTGTTGTAAGAATGTCTCCCAGTCACTATGCACAGATGATCTATAGAGAAATCATACCATAGGTGATAGATGTATTGATCCAGGTGATTATTGGTTATAGTACTTTAAGAACCAGTGATATTTCTGACAAAGATCTTTGACCTACTTTTAACTCTAACCTCAATCCTAACCTTAGTCTAAAAAGCCATATCCCTACCTAAAAGCATAGATTTACAGAAAAAGTACACAGAGAATAAGTGGAATACTATATCTACCTTCGCCAAGTCCACGAATTCGGGCATGATTTTATACGAATGAGCTTCCATACTATCCCCTGATTCTGATTATTTCTTGAAGGTCATATCTTGAAAGATGTCGACTTTGACTATGATACTTCGCCAAAATATGACATGGGATTGTCTCCTGTTTATTATATGAGATGAATGTGGATTGACGACAAACTGAAAGTAGTTAAAGAGTCATTGAGAACCATCAGGCAGTACTTGACAGCTACCTAGCTAGCTAGCGGTTTCATCCTTGTTTAGGACATTTCAGCATTACGTACCTATGATCTCATTGCTATGCGGATTGAACCCAAGAACTTTCAGGTTACAAGCAAGCGATGAAGTTCAACAATAGCGTCGTCCCAGGAGTGCGAACGTTCCAATGACTTTGAACGCATGCTAGTTGTTGACTAACGACACCTGTCATTGTCATAGTTGGAATATATCAACCCTATTCACCAACTTAGGAGCAAGTTTCACTCAGATCACGTTTTTAAGTACTCTTTGGACAGTTTTTAATAGCCTGTTAGGGTTAGGATTAAGGTTAGGGTTACGATTACGGATAGACTTGGAGTTGATGACATTTATTTTCATTTGTTTTCTTATCCACATTTTCCTGGTAGGAAGTCATCGATCCTTTCACTATGAATCATAGTAATTCAACCGAGGACTGCACAATAGGATAAGAGTGATGAATGGGTTAAAAAAAAGCTCATCTTCAGTCACCTCGGTGAATACATGTACAGAAACCAGTCTAACTTAGCAACTGATACTCCTCACTGGAACATATTTTTAAGTCATGTCAGAGATAGATACCCTGTTTAATGTGTTTTCATGCATTTCCTTGTAAATATACGTTATTTTTTGTGTAAAAGTTCCTCATTTTTATGATTGGTCAGCTGATGGTGGTCACTCGTGCATCCCAGGGGACGCTATTGTTGAATTTCGCCTGAAGGACAATAGTCACCAACTACTTTCTGTATTCACAGTATGAATATTAGTTGTTGATAGTCACTGCATAATAATCAGATAGCCTGATATAAGTCAGTTGAAATCAGTAAGCACTTTACGCCTAATCATTTGATAATCGTACTATTTTTGTTTTTCAGAGAATCGTTTTTTTTAAACGAATTAATTAGCCAGTTAAATTTGTCTTGGAATTAAATCTAAACATTAATTTGCATTGACAACAAGGCTAAGAAGTAGGTGACAGGTGTGTTATGCCCAGGTATCTTAACAAAAGTAACAATGAACAGCAATAAATCGATATACAGTACCGCTATGCCTGTTGAGCAATGAAATACTGTCTCCCAATATATAACCATGAATATATACCTATTTTAAATGAAATACATGTGAAGCTGTGGAATGTAGCAACCTGAATAATCCATGCAGATAATTACCTACTTCCGTAAAATTGACTGATAGAATTCAGTCTGAACCAAACAAATTGGACAAGAAAAACGTTACACTAGTTACTGACTAGTATGCAATCAAAAATATCCAATACAGTCTTACAAGAGGTGAATCACGAGTCCATATAGCTCATTGTTAACGTATCTGACTGCAGGTGGCACTAGGTGACGCAGGTTCGAATTTCAGAAGGTGAGGTGGGTCTTTCTGTCGGTTACCTCCAACCATCTAATACTAACAAGTCTTCTGTAATCTTGCTACCAATTTACTCTACTCTTGATGATATTATATAGTTGGAGGCAATCAGGAGGAAGCCTCGCCTCATCCAGGTTTCGTGCTAGTTGGCACTCGTTAGCAAGGAGCATCTACAACCATGAGGGAACTCATGTCCCTTTGGAGATTTGAACCCGTGTCACACAGTACTGCAGTTAGAGACGTTACCACTGAGCAATTCAGGCTCGCGATTGATCTCCTGTGAGACTATAGTGAGTTCAAGGCTTCCTGCTGATTGCCTCCATCACTGTGTACCGTGATGGCGAGTTACCTAGAATGGCGGCCACATTGCAAACCTGACTGACAGAATTCTCTCTGAACCACAAAAAGGACTAGACACATCACAGTAGTCACTAGTGTCTAATCCAAATTTCTCTACTCTTGTTTTACTTTCTACCAAAACTCTCATGTGTATAAATTTTCGTAGTGAACCCATTTCCATCATTAACTAGTCAAAAGAAATTATTGATTTCACAAGCTTATTCTTCTAACCTACACTTTGATTAGAGGTCAGCGGATGGATATGGTCACCTTTGGTGGACATATTGTACAAATGAATTTATTGAACTTTTGGGATAAATTAAACTTTAGACACTCAACAAGTGCAAACGCCTCATGACGACTTTAAAATGTCAAGTTAGAGTGAGGAGGTATTGAAATCAGGTGAATTACAGTATGTTCATGAAGAAAGACATTTAATGATGTGAAATACTTTTAAATAGATCCCCTTTAAGTTAAGTCAGGTTAGGGAAAGATAGGAGTTAAGTTGATGATGTGAAGGAGTTACGGTTACGTTCACCAAGCTAGGGAGGTAGTAGGATATTTAAGGGTACATTAAGGTTAGGGGGGGGACCAAATTTACCTTTTATTAGAATCGCTCTTTGATGTATTTGGCCCCTTGGTTGTCTAAAGTTAAACTTTACTTAATTTACAAGCTCACGTTAACAGCCTACATTTTTTCGAGGTTGATGTACAATCAAAGTGAATGGATGAATTTTTTTAAATATTCCTTTACGTTCCCAGTGGGACATAAGGCACCTTCAAGCTTTAGCTTTCAAGTTTCAGTATCAGTGATGTTAATTGTTACGAAATGGTGTTGCTAGCCTCATGCCCAACTTTTCCTCTTTGCCTGTCTTATTACTAGATTAGCGAGGTAAAGGAGTGAGTTGGTGGTCGGGAATTGAAATTCAGACCGAATGGGGCGTGGTCGACGAGCACTTTACCGTTGTGCCACTGACCACCAGTAAATATCTTCACGTTATGGACACGCAATAAATATGAACTATGCTGAGCATTGCATTCAGGTCTCATGTAGCAAGATCATAAACTTGAGAAATACATCAAAATATTATATAATTATATATCATTGCTCAAATGGTCTAGTGGATACCACTTTAGTATTTGAAACGGTGAGTAGGTCCTTGGTTCGACTTTCAATTGGGAGATAACCACTGACTTGGAAATGAGGATATATCCTACTGACGAGTTTCGAACAGGACGAAACGCTTATCTCCTGGATTCCACTGACAGTCACTGGCCACTAAATTACTTCAAGGTAAACTATTATACCACAGTTTGACAGGAATATAACCACCATAAAAAGTCACCAGTAAAAAAATTAAGAAGTAAAGCTATTAGTGTAAAACCTCTAATTATTATGTTTAAGTCTGACTGACGACTGACCGAATTATTAAGCGATCATAGCATACATAACTAAGATAAATAAATTATAACATAAAGAGTAATTATGTCAACTCATAGACTTACCACAAACCAATAGCATAAGTCTAGGTCCTAAATCACGAGCAGGATTCAGTGCACATCCAGCATTCAATGCAAAACAACCAACCAAAGCATAAACTAACAGCGCCAAATGCAATGGATGTAAGTGGTCGGGAAGTTTCCAACCGTTTGGATCACAAATAGCCAGCGCTCCAGCTGCCAACAATGCTGTACCAAGTACTTGATCAAGGAAACAAGTTAAATGAGATGCTCCTGGATTTGTAACGAAGATACCGCCAGTTGTTTTAACAATCAATGTTCCGTTTTCATACCTATTAGCATAATCATATATTTTCTCATAATAAACAGCATAGATAGCAAGTGCTCCAACAAAACCACCCAAAATTTGAAACAATGTATATATTGGTACACGTCTCAAGGGGAATTTTCCAATAACTGAAAATGCCAATGTAATTGCTGGATTTATATGTCCAGAACCTCCACGTCCAGAGAAAAATACCCCCATGTAAACAGCAAATCCCCAGCCAAGACTAACTGACAGGAAACCACCATGGGCTTTTTTTCCATGATCACCCAAAAATGTTTGAGCTATAACACCACAACCAAATATAACTAATATTGCTGTGCCACAAAATTCAGCTAAACATGCACGAATTAACGGACATGAAGTTAAACGCATTTTATCCGCCAATGTATGCTGTCTTCTTTCTAATCGTCCTTCAAAAGTATCGGTATTCCCCATGATTAGTAACAAGAATATGATAAAACAAGAAGTTTGTGCCCAGCAGACTTCGTCACACCCTGAAGCGTGCTTGTACTTATGACAGAAACAGTACTTCTGTTATCTTTTAGGTGAATTTATATCCTGTTAACATCTCAGTATACAAAAGAAAAAATTCGATAGGCTTTCGCTTTTAGCCAATCAAAAGTTAATTCTGCTCCCATTTATTCTATGACCTCTAATTGTCCGTCTCAAGTCAACCAATCAGAATGAAGAAGTTAAGGTCATATGATTTAAACGTTGCATAGATGACACACAGCAGGAAAAAAATTAGACCATAGATCGTATTATTAACTCTGAGGTCACTGGGTTGACGTTTGTTAAATTATTCAATAATAATAGTAATAATTATAACCATGGTAATTTTTTTCAAAGTATGCCCATTATGATAATTATGGAATACTTTCCAAGGAAATACTTATTTTTGGTAAATTCGCACGAGGCTTTGTACTTAACTAAAATTTTCAAACGAATGGTTACTAAACAAAAAATATTATTTCCTATATATATATATATGTAATAGTAAGTGAATTAATGAATTAGTGTTATTATTAACATCATTAATGCTGTTTAAACAAGATTCAGTGGACCACCTAGTCCGAACTGACAGCAAAGCCAACATTGAGGAATCCTTCTCTATCATCATCTACCGGGTACCAAATAAATTGCCAAAAACATCAAGGTACCGCATACTTCAAACAGCAGAGGCAATGGCGATTCGCGTGAAACAACCAGTGCCCTCTGTCTGTATAAAAGAAGCAAGTCCAGCCGCCATTAATGCCCTGGCCGGTCTTTAGTGGAGACTATAAATTCATGAATTCTATATTATGATTATTTTTCCTAATTTTTCTGATATTCAGCTTATTGTTATGTTGATGCTTTTGAACTGTAGTCTATTGATATTATTGATTCGATGTTATTTAAGCAACCACATTAATGTTGTTCATAACACTAATTCATTCATTCATTCACTATAATGTATATATAACAGTAGAGCCTGATGATGAAGAGGTTATCGAAAAGAGTATTCTTAGTTCAGTAACCATTCTTTTGATGATGGTCTCAATGGATTACAGTTCGATGTCATCAACATAACACTACGCTTCACTGAATATCAGAAAAGTTAGGGAATATAATAATAATAATAATACAAATTCATGAATTTATAGTCTCCAATGAAGACTGACCAGGGCAGTAAAAATGTCAACCTGGACCTGTTACGTCTGCACACAAACCACCCGTTGTCTCAGTTGAAGCGCAACATCCTCTGATGTAGGGACTATTCGGTGCCTGGATGCTTACGGCAATTTATTTGGTACCCCATAGATGATGATGGAGAAGGACTCTTCAATATCGGCTTCGTGGACGATTTTGCTCAGGTGTTCTAATATGGAGTTATAAGATATATATACATATATATATAAACATTAGTCATATGCTCTCGTTTCCCAAGTGGTCTAGAGGAAAACGCTTTAGAGTTTGAAACTATGAGTACTGGATTCGAGCCTCGGTGGGAACATCATCACCATTGTGGAATGCACGTGCATCCAGTGACAAGGCCCGAATAGGACGAAATACGCATCGTTGCTTGATACCATTGGTAGTCACCATCCACCAATTAACTTCTAATAACATGCCCAGACATTATCGAAGCAACTGCACAAGAAGCTGACATGTCAACCTGAGACCGAGTTGCACTTTGCTCCAATCAGTTGACGGGGAAATCTTAAATTGTAATAAATTAGTCATAGACATTTAAAGCAACGTGGATCAACAGACCAAGGGTTCGGGGATGTGAGTTAGTGGATGGTAATCAAGGTAATAATAATAATAAGGGAAATTTACTCAAGTCTTTATATAACTCAGGTAGTCATGAATATGTAAGTAGAATGTTTATACTGCAAATAAAAATTAGATTGTGTTTACAGCTATCCAGTGTCATCAGGAGAGATAACTTTTTTTGGGTGGGGGTGGGGTGAAGGCTATGGGAACGAGAGGGATTGGACAAACGTTTCCTGAGCACACAGAATGGACTGAATCACTTTGAAGGTAATCATCCGGGTTAAATACTTAACAATGAGAATCGTGCAAGCTTAGGAAATTGAGATGACACCATTGTATTGAATTGTAAAGGCTAAATTCTTATCAATTTTGTGCTCTGTATCCACAAGGAATGCCAGCATGGGACTTCTGGTTGACTTTACGGCACCTTTTCTACATAATCACATTGGATAATGCTCAAGAAAGTGACAATGTGATTTCCGAATTGTTCTACCAATGTAATTGCCCCTCACAAGAAGAGTTAAATTTATAAATGCACTTTAAACATAGTTCTGTGGCAAAGAATGTTCTAATTATAAATATGCTTATCCTGCACTGTTTACAAGTATTTCTCGCTATCTATCCTTATCATGGAGACCTTAGAACATTTTTCGGGGTATCCGTTCTCATGTAACAATTATTCTATTTACAAGTATTGGTTTTGTAGAGATTGTGTTTGACTGGTTGGAAGGATCCATCATGAGCTGACATCAGTCAGAGAACTGTTGGAAAACCAGCTGAGCAGACGTGTCGCCCTAGTTTGTGACTCTTCAGCATTACGCACCCACTTTGTTTCGAATCCAGGACCTTCTGGTTACAAGGTGAGCTCGTAGACCTTACAGCCAATTAAATAAGTCCCTACAAAACCAATACTTCAAAATTAATCGGATGCCCACTAGAGACTGGCCCTATTCAGGCAGTTAACCTGAGGTGGTTCTAGTGTGAAGCCGTGACCGTTAGGGTGCAGCAGGTTGAAGGTGAGGCAGTGACTCATCGAAGAAGACATTGCAAAATGGTCACGTAATGCCATGGATTGGCAGAAGGTGGAATTTATGTGCTTACCTTGAAAATAATGGGTCCTGGGTTCGAACTTAGCTGGTGAGTGCATACTGCTGAAGAGTACTAAACTAGGACGAAATATTTGCCCAGTGCTCTATTTTCCTTATTTTATCGTCCAGAGTGTCAGATGAACGTTTTTTTTCTTGCACGAAACTTTAGGGTTCTTACAGATGACATTTCATCTGTATTCAAGACAAAGAAACGATCTGAAAGGTTTGTGCTGGCTAACCCGGAACCTAGATTATATAATCGCCTAAATGGATTTCTTCTCTGTATTATTATTGTCATCAGCTCGATTCTTATCCACTAACTTACATCCCTGAACTTTGATTCTATTGTTTCTAATTGTTTTCAATGTCTATGAATAATGTTCTGTTGTGTAACTATAATACCTGATAAGAATTTACCGGAAATACGTACAGTCCCGATTAGGCTATTTCCAATAATACAAATTTATTACTATATTTGACCAAGGATCGATATCACTTAGAGAACCATTAAAAACCAACAAGATATACTGGATTGTCCGCTGTTTCATCCTAGTTTGGGAATCTTCGGCAGTACTCACCCACCGCCAGGGTTCGAACCTAGGAACTTGCCGTGACATGGCAAGCTCGTACATACCATTCAGCCACTGGCACCTGATTCAATGACCACTGCATGAATTCTAACTTTTACCACTGACTGACAGACTAGTTTCAACATAGAACTTTGCACCGATCTGCAGCAGTTCCAGTCGGCACACTCCTTTCATGTAGCCTTCAAAGCAAGAGAAAGTAGAAGAAATGCATAATAGAGACAGTAAACAGAGATATAAGTAAAAAGAATGGTAATATCGAAGATCAATATGGTTTTATTGGTCCTTATAAGTCACAAAGACTGGATGCATCTACGCCAGCCATTGACGACGATCACTTTAAGCCATATCACCAACTGTTTCCAACCATTGGTTTTTACCGTCCCGAGGACCCCAACCAGGAAGCCAGTCTACACCTTCCTACGTGGCTGGCTTAAACTAACAGTTGTGGATATCCTTAACGTCTACCAATTGATGGTTTTTGCTAGACCATCACCCAACCAGTCGAGAGCAGGGATGGATTTCCTACCGATGACAATGGACGGTGGTAGCGCTAAAAATCATGAATTGGTAAAAGTGAGAAATTCAAGTTGTGCCCATTGAATCAGGTCCCAGTGATTGAATGTTATATGAGCTGGCTGGTCTTGTAAGCCGAAGATCATGGGTTCGAACACCCTGCCGTGGATGCGTGCTGCCAATGATTCCCAAAAACTAAGATGAAACAGCTGGTTGTTCAATGCTACCTGGCTGTCTGTCTGTCTGTCTGTTTTCGACATAGAACTTTGCACAAATGTGCGGAAGTCCAAGTCGCCACATTCCGTGTAGCACGCGAAGCAAGAGAAGAAAGTACAAGAAAAGCATAATAGAAACAGTGAGCAGAGGTGTGAGACAAAGGAGTAATAAAGAAATACAAAACAGTTTCATTGAAGATCATAAGTCACAGGGAGTGGATGCATCTGCGCCACTGAGAACGGCTGGTTTCCAATGCATCTGTAACTGATATCAGTTAGTGGTCAAATTCGAAAAACAAGTCAAATCCTTACAAATCAACCCTTGAAAATTATTACTATATATACATAAATATATATATTACCTTCTCGATTGATTACGTAATCTTTGCCCCTCAAATCACGTCCATTTTATTTAAGTGATGGATAATCCGAGATCCTTGAAAAATAATTTAATTTGATATTGGATTTTAAAACCTGATACTATTTGGTATCATTTTGACAGAATTTATTGTGGATTGCATCGTCTCAAAATGTCCATCTATAATTTGAGAGAGGGAGAGAGTGACAGAGAGAGAGTCATGAATTTGTGACTTGTGTTTATGTTCTAGTGAGATGAATTGTGGTTTTGAACGGATTAAGCTATCTGAGGTGAGTCAAACTGTGTACATCACTGATGAGGTCGATCTAAAAAAAAAAGAGTGAAAAGTTGTCATTGATTTTCATAGAGTATAACCAGTAAAGTTATTAACATAACTAGCATTATTAAGTGTTAG